CCATAGCCTAATACAGTGACATCCCACAGAAGAGAGTATTTATCTGAGCTCACAAGAGACTCTTATCGGGTGCATTAATCAGCCATTTCTCCAGGAGACGGCTCATCCCTCCCTCCCCCCACACCCCCCAACCCCCAGGACTTAATTTCTCCGGTTCCAATCCAGTCCTTAGGGGGTAAAGTTTTTAACAAGATGTTATTGCTGATATTCTTGAAGAGCCATTAATCATAATAAATCCATATTCTGGGTAATTAATTGTTGTTTTTGCCATGCCAGGGCAAGGACTGCCTGCTTTTGTGACCACACTGTCCCATCTGCCTGCCTCCCCCCGCACACTGGGACAGGTGATGAAAGGTGTTTCGCCAAATGAAAAGGGATTGATGGATTGCTGGGGGGCATGGGAGGTGTGGGGATGAGCGGAAAAGGGCATCAAGCCCAAACATACATGGACAGTATGCCAGGGGGGCACTTCAGGCATGAGAGAGGGGGGTGCACCAAAAAATACCGGCCCCAGGGGGTGATGTAGGGGCTGTGGTCACTGCGATGAAGGGGCTGTGGTCACTGCGATGAAGGGGCTGTGGTCGCGGATTCAGGGGGGGGCAGTTCATCCCCCAAGCGGCTGCTTCGGGGCTGGGGTGTGGTGGCCAGGGGGTGGTTGGCCCCTTCTGGGTGGTCGATCTCATCACATCACAAAACGCACATGCAGTGCCTATGTTCAGTGGGACACACGGGGCTGCCGTCGGCATGGGCTGTGCATCATACCTGCTGCACTGAGGCTGGAGCCCCGCCCCCACCAGAGGGGCCCACCCCCTCCACGAGGCCCCGCCCCCTCGGAAGGATCCACTCAGGCTATGGAGTGAGATGAACTAAAAATTCTGCCAAAACGTGCTCCCGCGTCCCAGAAGTAATCTGGGATTATCCATCTTCAGACAGCCATCGGGTGAGGGGGCTGGCTGGTGGTGACACTCCGCAGCGAGCGTCAGGAAAACAGCCACTCTGCCTTCGGGTCCCCAGCTTCACCATTACTGGCTCCTTACTGCTGGAAAAAGGTCACTGCGGCTGGGAAACTGGCGAGACTGAAGACATTTTGGACGCAGCACTGATATCCAGATTTTTCTCTAATTTGTCTGAGGAACATGACATTGGGTCAAAGCATTCCCACCTCCCATGCCGAGTGACGGGCACCCTCCCCATCACCGCAGGGTGGGGGTGAGCTAAGTTTTAGCATGACATAGCTGTATGTCATGAAGGCTCATAGGAAATGGGATTTCTCAGCTTGTGGTGGCTGGACTCTGTCGTCTGGGCGCTGACATCACGTGCACTTTCCTAAAGAATGGGAACTTCGGGTTACACAGCTAAACAGTGACTGCGGTGTTCTGCCTTTTGACTGTAGGGGGCGCCATGGATGGCGGGGACAGAGCTCGTTCTTTATGGTGGTTTCCATGGGAAGTCCTCCTATGATCAAATGCGCCATTTGCCTCCTAGGTATGGAAGGGAACTACATCACACATACAGACATCCCCCCCCCCCCGCCCCCCTTCGCTGCACTGGGACCAGAGCCTTAAAGAGGCTCTTTAAGTTCTCCCTCACATGATAAAGGACCAAATGGCAGCCCCTAACGGGCCAACACACATTCTGAAAAATGGCCACCCTAACCCCGTAGACATCAATTCAAAGTCCAACGGCAGCATCATCAGTGGCCAATCACGTCCGTGCCATTAAAGCGCCCTGCTCTGCTTACGGATCGGCGCGGACTCCTAGGGAGAAGCTGTTTACAAGATGGCCACCTCAAGTATGCCCTCCTACAGGACTCTGTTTGTCTCCGGTGTTTATTATGGGCTGCTTCCAAGGCACTAGATGCCACGGCAACAACTACTCTATTAATATCCAAATGGCACTTCAATTTGGATTCTTTTCCCTCACCCTCCTCTGGGAAGTCTTCCACTGAGAAATGCGTTCCATTCCCCTCGATCTGCACGCCATACTCCTGGCGATGAGGGGAAGATAACACTGGGAGATAAATATCCCACCAAGGACACCCCCCTCCCCCCAACTCGATGCCTATGGACAAGGACGATAGGAATGGCAAGTTAAAAATATATGCGGTGGGGGGGGGGGATCAGGCTATGAGCAGAATGATCCTAGTGTCTCTGTGTGACATGTGACTATCTCTCCTTGAGTACTGTTCAGCAGGCCCCCACAGGTAAAACTGACTTTTAGGTTTTCAGGTTAAGCTCTTTGCTGAAGGGTACGAGGGCATGACCCACCTTCATGACGCGAAAAGGCACCAGCCTTGATGTCCGCATCGCAAACCTAATCACCAGGTAGCGTGGTGATCCAGGCCAGCACACTGACATTTATCTATTTATAAACGAAACTCAGGTATTGGCATCAGATGATGAGCTGGAGCCTTGGTATGGATAGTCATCTGGGAGCCTGGTGTGATGATTCTCTGCTGATTCAGAGTTCGGGTGATGGAAGTCTCCGGAAAAGCCAAACAGGTCCGAGACCGTGGGTCCCTGACAGCTTGGCTGGGTAACAAGCTCTCTCTTTCTCCCTCTCGCACCTTGAGACAGCCTCATTTGCTGAAGGGGACTCACTCCTCATTCCCAGGTTTGAGGGGTCCGGGAGAGTCAAGCCGCACCCCAGTCAGGATGAGGTCAGAAGTTTGTCGCTGTTCCATGCTGCTGTGCATTGGACATTGAGGCGAATACAAAAACCACTTCGAAAAGATCAACCTCATCAAAGGTCATGAAGGCTTTGGGCGAACCAAGGGTCTCCCGGTGTAGATCGCGTGCAGTCGGAAGGCACGCCTCCGCAGCCGGGCCCGTCCACGTGTCGGGACACGCGAGCACCTCTCGGCTGGAGAAGGCGGCCGGGCGCTCCCGGCGCTCCCGGCAGAGCGGTAAGCAGTGGCGCGGGCCTGAGTCATCGCCGCTGAAGACAGCTGCAGCTATTCTGAGAAATGTCAAATTAAGATCTGGGATTTTAGGCCTGTAACTCACACTAGCGTGCAAAACTGTTATTGGCACAGGTGGGTGGTCATTTCCCGTTATGTAATGTTACATACCTGGAATAACGTCTGAAAGTAAGAAGCTTCAAGCTGCACAACTTCAGGTCGCCAAGGCAGCTTGCCTCAGCTCCAGACCCTCTGTCTGCCTCTGAACCGTAACCTTCTGGCAGAACGGTCTGGAAAGGGGAACTGTTTCGTCTGGATCTGGCTTCACCCAGAAGTGATGGTGCCACACCACTGTGGACAAAGGGCACAAATAGCAAATCCTGCCAAAAAAACAGACCCCCCCCCCGCCACCCCCCTTAAAAAAACAGCCTCTGTATGTTAATACACAAGCACTAGCTGGAATAGGGGGCGAGTGAGCATTGTGTGAAGTAAATTAGATTTAGGGTCCGTATGAATACACAGAGCGTTTGGACTGTGTACACAGCTGGCTTTGCGGGGAAGCGTCCCAGGGCGCAGATCCAAGCAGGATGCCTGCCCAGCTCCGCAGAAAGATGGCGTGCCTGTGCCTGTGTTTACTGTGCTCAGATGGAAGAGAGAACTCAACCCTAATAACAACACGAAACACCTTACAGAGTCAGCTTACTGAATGAACGAGTAGTCGAAGGCCTTGGTACCCCCATTCATTGCTGGTTAACCGATTCGGGGACATGGGCAGCCCCCTAGTGATCCATCTACTTGGGGGGGTGCTGACTTAGCAAGCCAACTACAGCATGCGGCATTGCCCCCACCCCATGTAGGGGTGAAGGTGTGGGCGGAGCTGGGAAAATGGGCGTGTCTAAGGTTAATCATTTCCAAGTTATCATTTCTGCTGGGATGGTGAAATGCATTGTGGGAAAAATCCAAGAACGGCTCAGTGCACCCAGTGAATGACGCGCCCGTGGTTCTGCACCTCATAGACTCCACCGAGATACAACAATAGGAGCGTTCGCCTCTATGGTAGCCCCAGTGTCTGCCGCAGGCTCTGTCTGTAACCGGATTGCCACGGAATAATTCCCGAGGATCGGGAAGAGCAACCAGACAATGCCGGCCTAGTACACAGCTAAGGCGGGGGCTCTCGGATTAATCTGTGTCCGCTGAGGACAAACAGACAAATTGGAAGATCCGGCTGGCAGAGGCCGATTACAGGGGCCTCAAGAGGAGGGGGCTGGCTGCTAATTTGCCTGGCTGGAGGGAGACGTGGAGAAACATGGCTGTGGAGGTGACAGCTTCGTTCCCGGGGACGGCCCGTTAGCTAAACAATAATCCGTGATACGCACCAGGGTTCAGTTGGTGTTGCGGGGAGCACGCCCCGCACTGGGGGAGCTGAAGGACGCACTGCGCCCTTCCAGGCCGTAGATGCAATACACCACTGTGCCGAGTTCATTATGCAGGGATCGGGCAGGCAGGAGGACACCACGTCAGGAAAGGCCTGTGGCGTTCGTTAGCCTGATGCCTGATGTCACTTGCACCTTCTTGCCCCTTCAGGCCATCAGCTGACCTCAGAGAAATGCTGATCTCATCCTGGAAGTGCTTTACCCCCCTTTTCCCTGCATTTATTTAAAAACCAAGGGCCTCGGCGGGGGCGTGGCCCTAGCCTGAACCTCGCAGCCAACCCACGGTCTACTTGAATCTGATTGACATCAAAGGAATGACATTTTTTCTCTGTGTTAGTCATAATACACACAACTGGTTCCACTGAATGAAGAATTCGTAAGAATCTCACATCTTTCTGAGCCTTTCGTCTTCCTCTCTTCAACTTTCGGATTATGGGCAACAATAACGGAAGCTGTGGCCTCAATAGACAAACTATAAAAAGCAGTATTATGTGTTTCTGCAGAAGAATTTACCTTTTAGCACAAATCAGACAATTATACTGATTAACTTTGATTAATAGCTGTCATTTTAGCAGCAAATGGCATTAAAGGATATATAGTTACTTTTCCCGTACAAGGAGCACACTAAGAAGTTTATTAAAATAAAATTACAAACCTGAAAATTTACACTGTACTTAATTATGCATAGACGACTTATTAACGCGCCATGAAGGTCACATGATTACGGGTAGCACCAATCAGCAGTGAGGACTAAGCTGCCTGGGGCGGTTGTCGTCGACCCCCCGGCTGAAGCTCTTCCCCCACTTGTGAAGCGTACAGCCCACGTAGAGCTAGTCAGCATTCAGCTTCGAGAGTGCGCCCCCGCTCTGGGGGTGTCGCGGCCATCCGCAGGCAGAGCTTTGACAGCCGGGAAAGGAGGAACGCAGAGAAGGAGCGCAGACTCGCAGGTGGGACGGGGGCTAGCCTCGGGACAGACCGTGCGCGCGCACACACGCCGCCCCGAGCGTTAAACCGTCGAACTGCGGTGTTCTCGAGGTCCCTGTTCCAGCTGTTTTAATTGATTAATCACGCAGTGCAGAGTAAACCAGGTGTGTCAACCGAAGATCATGTGTCCGCGTGCGCTGCTGGAAACAGAATGCGCATGCGTTCCTAAACATCACATACGCTGAATGAACAAAGCCGGCGGTGTTAAGTATTTCAATACGACGATTAGCCTTTTTAGTAGCTTTCACGCCGTGAGCGGTGGCTATGAATAGCCGATTAATGCAGAGTTCAATGCCAATTTATTCTGGCCCGTTTAAGTTTTTTAAAAATCCAAATAAAGAGCCCTAATCGTTCTTTTAATAACAGCTCAGACATCCGGCACCACAGCTGAACAGCTACAGGATGTCCCCAAGCACGGGCCTCCGTTTAACGCGATTTAAACTGGGCGATTTATTCAATCAACGGCTCAATCAAAGCAAAAAAAAAAAAGAAAAAAACAAGGTTAATTAATTAGGCTCTCCTGGGACGAAAACCAGCGTATTCTGTTACGCTGATTATTTATTATGCACTTAGTGAATCTTTACAAACCACCGTTTGTCAGAAAAAAAAGAGATCGTAGCAGAGGGCATCCTGTGAAAACCGCACGGGTTTGTAGATCAGGCGCCCCCTGCTGGTCAGAAATTATGACAAACAAAAATCAAACACCTGCGTGCCTCTTCTGCTGTCATCATCACTCTTATAATCACTGGAGAGTTATTAAGTGCCCGTGTCCACGGAGCTTTGTGTTGCCTAGAGAGTAAGGACCCGAGCCAGTCCCATCACGCAGCAGATATGATTAGCTTTTGTACATGCCATCTGCTTCACTAATAAGGTAAGTCCTTTATTTGATGTTTGCACACGTATGAGTACAGGTTATTAGAATTATTCTCTTGCCCTACCCCATCATGCTCTCCATAGCTTGGGGGTCACAGTGCAGGGTCAGCCAATATGCAGTGTCTCCGGAGTTTGGGGTTAAGGGCCTTGCCGAATGGCCCACAGACACGTGACTGCTTTGCTGAGTCGTGGGCTTGAGCAAACTTCCATTCGTGGGCAAAGAGATTTAGTCTGCTGAGTCACTCACTATCCCCTGGCACCAGTGGCTGCTTGGGTTTGAGCCAATCTTCATGCTGAAGTGCATGTTCTCACTACCCCACACTGTGACACTGGAACACACCGGAACACAAAGGTGGCCCCCCTATTGTTTGTTCTGCGGGGCCAAACTGATCGGCACCTTCCTGTCCCTGCATACTATGTAGGGCTTCCAGTGTAGGGGTCCAGTGTAAATGGTTAGAGTTTTGCTTCCTCTCAGCTCCCAGTGCACCGGTACCAGGTATTCGGTGTTCCTGATTGGCTGGGAGTTGAGAGGGAGCAAAAACGTGGACTGGGTTGGGAAACACTTGGTTAGAGGCACAGGTCATTGAGTGACCAGCGGGACATTTCAAGGGCACCGAGTTTCCTCAGCATGACCTCATGAGACCCATTTCAGACCTCAGGGCTCCTCCCACAAGCCTCAGCGCTAAACCAAAATACTACTACTACTACTAATAATAATAATTGGAATTTTGGCCTTAAATCATTTAGTTGCCCAATAGAACCAGTATGTGTCATAATGAATCCAATCACCTGTGTTAGAGAAGCTGAACTATGACTGTATCGAGGATAGACCTGAGAGCGGGAGGTAAGACAACAGGGGACGGCATTACCCTTTTCATTACTCTCTCTCTGTCTGGCCGACGGTCCACATCTGTGCCCAAATGAGAGAGTTCCCCTGAGGACCTTTGGGTAATTGGTACGAGAACATCTGCTCTGTCCAGCCCGAGTTTCCACGTCCAGACCTGATTGGACCTTGCTCTAGGATGAGCCAGTTTGCCCTGACTGGAGGTTAAATGAGAGGTCCGTCCTCGTGAATGGACATAGCGTCTCATGCCTCTCAGGGCCACGGGGCAGCACAAAGCGGTGAGACGTGCTCCTATGCTGACTCGGTTTCAGCTCCGGGTCTGAAAACAGAGGGTCACAGATAAATTGAAATTAAATATCATGCGGACATAGGCTGCGATAAGGCAAGGCTCATTTGTTAGTTATTAATTCATGTGGGATTCATTTCCCCTAGTAATTTATAATTTGCTGTGTATATGTTCACACACACTGAGCGAATGAATCACCCAGGCATGTTTAAGCATGCTATGATTCGCTCACGCATTCCTGGTTCCACAGTGGCACTAAGAGGTTAATCAGAATTACGCAACAATGTTTTCTCCACAAGCACCAGTCCACCTTTGCGTGTAGCTGTTGCCTCTTCTATCTGCCCCTCTCTATAGCAGCACGATATTGCTAAGGATTATGGGGGATTAAGGCCTCTTTCCAGTGTACCGTGGGTGTGACCGTTCAGTAGTTGGGTGATAACAGATGAATGCGGGAGTCTTCCCAGAAAGCCATTGGTGGGTCCAGCTAGGGAGAGGCTCCCCTCTGTTCCAGAGCAGGTGTTTCATTGGTGTGTCAGTCCTGCCAGTTGTCTTCAGCAGGTTCCAAGGTCTCAGGCTCTGAACATCAGGCAGAGATGGTTTGAGAGCTTCTGGCAGTGCTGTCATCAGTGCTGGCACGTGGGAACTGGTGCTGGTTTCGTCACTCGTGTGAGACACGTCAGTGGTGATCTATGGTGATGACATAACCTTTCCAGAGCTTTTCGGGCAACAGTGTAAACATCATAGAGTGTGTCCATTTGTCATTTAAAAGTGTTTTTGAACCTGCCTGTGATTTGCGTGATGTTTTTCCAAGAGTCATAGATTTCTGCTCGCAACGATTTGCAAGTGGATAGAGAGGAACATAATGTGCTTTTTTACCTGATTGTAAATCAAAGAGCACTGTCATCTGGTTTAAACTCATTGTGTGTGTTACCGAGGTCATTTACTACAGTCTGATGTTCAGAGGAACTGGGCAGGATTGAAAACAGTCCAGGCTACGGTAAAACATCATGCCTGACCTCTGAGTGCCATGTTGGGGGTGGGGGTACTGGGGTAGATTCAAGGGATTCAGTGATTTTATGTTGATGATATTCATCGAGGGCAATGCCAGACCAGGGAGGGGTCACAATTGCATTTAATCTGTATATGGATATTCCAGAGGTTTTTATTAATCTCGCGAGTTTGGGACTACTCAGATTATGAGATTTCTGCTCAAATATAGCTGAAGAAGAGTCAGGAGAGACAATGTTCAGAAAGACTGTGTCAGATGCATTCAGAAATACTGTGATATGCATTCAGAAATACTGTGTAAGTAAATTCAGAAAGACTTTGTGAGATGCATTCAGAATAACTGTGTCTGGTACATTGAGAAAGACTGTGTGAGATGCATTCAGAATAACTGTGTCTGGTGCATTGAGAAAGACTGTCAAATGCATGACTGGTACATTCAAAAATACTGTATCGGGATGTTAAGAAAGAGTGGTACATTCAGAAGGGCTGTGTCTGGTACATTCAGAAGGGCTGTGTCTGGTACATTCAGAAGGGCTGTGTCTGGTACGTTCAGAAGGGCTGTGTCTGGTACGTTCAGAAGGGCTGTGTCTGGTACGTTCAGAAGGGCTGTGTCTGGTACGTTCAGAAGGG